ATCCATCCATCCATCCATCCATCCATCCATCCATCCATCCATCCATCCATCCATCCATCCATCCATCCATCCATCCATTTTCTAACACGCTTATCCCAAGTGGGGTCATGAGGGGTGCAGGTGCCTACAGGCGAGAGGCAGGGTACAACCTGGACAGGTTGCCAGTCCATCGCAGGACTTCGGAGTCCATTAAATTCAATTAACTAATGCCAGAGAAAAGTGATTTATGCCAACTGGATTGGGCTTTAGTGGCAAATACTGTTGGAACAGGCAGGCTCCAGTAAAAGGAATCATCTTCTCATCCATTGAGACACATTCAGGTCGAGCCTGAAGGTTGCAGCCACTGAGTATGTGATTAATGACCCTCCAGAACTTTTTAGTTTGTCTCTCATCTGCCATAACATCATCAATGACAGCTTTCAGGTTGCTCCTGAGTTTGAAAAAAACTATCACATGGCATTGCATCACCGATGGCATGGATTTGCAAATTATTTGACCAGAACATCCTCGTTTAAGGGTAATGAACATAAGACATCAAGATTAATGTCCCCCAAAAATGGTAGATCTCATCAACAGAAAAATGTAATTGATTTCTTACTCTTAGCCAGTGACATCGCGTGTGTGCAATCAGCAAGTAGTTTAATCAGCTCCATGTCAAGGTACTGTTACACATAATCCTGTGGGTGCCAGTCTTGTCTTTCAGATCATATATCCCCTGAAACTGAGTTAAGTTAGGGGTTAAATGTGTTAGTTAATTCCTATTCCAGCTGTCACTATAATCATTGGGGTAGAAATTAGCTTCTGTTGCATCAGGTGGGGACTAAACATCAGAATCATCTTCAGGGGAATCAGGTGGAGAATAATCATCTTCAGAATCATCTATAGATGTAAGAGATCCATATCCGTAAAATGTTCATCCACGACTGGATCATTCTCTCCTCCATCTGATAAATCTTCAACCTCAGAGTTGTCTATAACTGCCATAAGAAGTTTTTTTGAATTTGACATGAAAGTTGCTCTGTAATGGAAAAAAACAACAACCCTAAATTTAGATAAAAGATGGCTAATGTATGATGTAGCTTGCAAGATAATTATTGCTTGAAAAATCTAATGCCGACAAGAACCACTGACACTTGTAATTTATTTTTAAATATTTCCAGTTATAAACTCAAATAATGTGACAAAATACCACTTACACTAAACTTACCACTAAACTCCTCTAAATATCTTCACATTTGTACAACCACATGGCACAATCAATAATGAAATATAGCCCGATCCCCTCAAATGGGTATTTACCTTACAGACATTGCAAATGGCTTCAGTGTTAAAGAAAAATGTCAAATTTGCAAGCCTTATGAAGCTAAAGATGTAACTGTGCATAAAAAACACTGCTTACTGGCATGAAACTTGCAGACCATTTATTGTACGAGAGTTAAAGCTGTAAAACCATATTTTATTTCTGTTTATGCAACTTAAAATTTTTAATATGTAAATGCAGTGTACACTCTCTGCTGCTGTTAAATACTTGATGGTCAGTGTTATGAATAAACCTTACATGTTTAAAAAACTTGGAGCAGAACAAGTGTGTTGTTTACCTTACAAATGTCACGATGGAGTTCTATTTTAAAGGAAACTTTACATTGTTGTTTATGCATATGTAATGCTGACTGAGATGCAGCAATTTCCTTCACTCCCTGCGCTAAGTGACCCACGTTTACCTGTGTAAGTGCAGGCAGCATAGACACAGTTTAGCTGTACCGCATATATGTGAGGTCCTGGAAATGTAGACCTTTGTGTCTCTCCACTTTAAACTTGGTTGTGCAACATTTTCTTTACTTTTGATAATATCAACTGAGGTCTACTGTAAAAAAAAACTCAAACTAATAGGTTAAGCTGATTTTGTTCTTCCTCTGCAATGTTTTGGTTGTTGTTTACTGGTCGAAGATACAGCCTGTTAAATCATGAATTTATATGTGATTAGTCAAATTAAGGAAGAGAAAAAAAACGTTTACAAGCCATACACAGGCTGATTAATATCTGACCAGTGCAATCCAGAAATCACATGAACAGAACCTGTCAGACAACACGAAGTAGGTTGAGATCTCAAAATGCAACAT